ATTTCTTGCTCCTGGATTTTCTTACGTACGTACTAGGCTATTAGGTAACTAGCAGATTGAAGTTAAATACGATTCTTTTTTGCTAGACAACAATTCTTAACATAACTTAATTTATGACAAACTTAAGTTATGACAATTTATTAATAAATTTAGAAAAACGTGAAAACTTTAAAAGAATTGTTGTTTGCAATTATCATTTTTATTTTTTAATAAGTAGTAAATAATAATGGTCTAAGTAATCGTACATAATAATAACATCAATGACAAGGTAAAATTATAATTTTAATATTTATAATATTTATAATTTTGTATCATATTAAAAAAGTGCAACACGCTACGCAACCAACACAAAAAATATGCCCTTAAAGGTCATTTTATAAAATTTCAGCTGACTTTAAACAACCATTTAACCAAACATCATTTTACAAACCGTTAATACTATCAGCTGACTAAAACAGCCAATTAAATCAGCTATCGTCTATCAGCCAACAGAAAATGCTATCAGCTAACAGCCAACAACCAATTGCCAAACACTCCCATAAAGTAGTTAGTGGAGTTTGTTAGAATTTTACTTAAATCCCAAATAATAAAGTATTTAGCACTACTTGTCTACTTGATGACGGAGCTTTTGATCCGGAGCACCCAAGCAAGTTTTAGAAACTACATGGAGTAGGGATGGACTAAACCGCGCCGGCCCGGCCTGGAACCGACCCGCTACTGTGCGGGCCCGGACCGGGCCGGGACCGGTTGGCCGGTTCCGGGCTTTTAGCCCATTTGGGCGGGTCGGGCGGGCTGGGCTCGGGCCCAGTTTTGGGCGAATCGGCCCAGGCGGTTCAGGGCGGGCCATGGTCTTTTTTTTTTGTTTTTTCAATTTTTTTTCTTTTCCTAGGGTAGGGCTGGGTATTTTGGGGAGGTTTGGGGGTGGGGGTTAGGAGGGGGGGTCAGGGGATAACAAGAAAGCAAAAAAAAATTAGACATTTAACCGGGCCCGACCCGGCCCGGGCCGGTTCCGGGCCCAAGGATTTGCAAAAAAAAGCCCGCCCAGGCCCGGCCCGGAACCGGAACCGGACCGGCCCGGGTCCATCCCTAACATGGAGCGGCAGATGAGTATGTGACTTCATATATAAAAGGGTCTTTTGGGTACCAACTGTACAAAAATATAAAACGCTGAAAAAGTAACTACATTGTTGTTTTTTCAGCTGATAATAGAAATCAGCCCAAACAACCAATTGAGCTAGTGTTTGGTGATTTTTTTTATACTTTCAAGCTTATCAACCCATTTTGGGTGCTCCAAACGGCCTCTTAGAGCCACACAAACTTTACCAAATATGGTATGAGATAATTTTAGTGAGAATTCCCGAAAAGGTAAAATGTGACAATATAAGGGGAACTGAGGGAGTAATTAATAATAAATCATAAAATATAATAAAAATCGTAAAAAATGATACAAATCGTTAAAAATAATAAAAATTAATAAAATATTTATAAAAGGGAAAATCGCACATTTGACCCTCCAATTATCCACCATATTGAAATCTCAAACCCGTGTTTCGAGTTTTCTAAATTTCACCCCCGAGTTGTCCAAATAATTATAAATGTCACCCCTGCCGTTATAAATTTCACCCCCCGAGTTGTCCGAATAATTATAAATTTCACCCCCGAGTTGTCCGAATATTATAACGGCAGAGGTGACATTTATAACTATTCGGACAACTCGGGGTGAAATTTAGAAAACCTGAAACACGGGTTTGGGATTTCAATATGGTGGATAATTGGGGGGTCAAATGTGCGATTTTCCCTTTATAAAATGAAATTTTGTTTTTTTCAAAAGCAAAATTAAAAAAAAAAAAAAAAACGTAAAAAAATACTACCGCCTCCGACACCCCCACCATAACTAGCTCCCATCACCGGAGAAATCCGCCAACATTTTTAGTAATCCTATTTGTGCAATTTTGTCACTTTTTAGTCCTGTTTAGGTAATTGACCCTAGTTTTTTGGCCAAAGAGGAATTATTTAGTTAGGATGGGTCTTATAACAATTTATAAATATTGTAAGTTTGACCACGTAAACGGTCAAATGAAACTGAAGGACTGAATTAAAATGCATCAAATAGAATAAGGACTAAAATGAGAGATTTATTAGTTGAAGCACCAAAACGATATGGTGATAATAGTTTAGGGACCATTTATGCAATTTACTCTTAAATGTATTTGAAGATGAAAATATTTGAGTTGTGAGCATAGATTTTTTGTAGTGTGAATTTTTAAAATTACATTACGATGAATTATAGTAAGGGTTGTTTGGGTATATGAAATGTGTTGGTGGTACAGTATAGCTAGATTCAATTATACATTCACTTTAAAGCATTGTACCCCTTAAATTATATTCTAACTTTTCTAATTTTCTTCCGTTAGTCTTCACCTCTTTAAACTTCCGTTAACTTTTCATTTCTCCTTTGTTGCTAACAACTTCAATTGGGTTCGAATAGAGCTAATTTTACCCAATTGAATTGTTTGCTTTAATATCTTATTATTACTCTTTTTTCCCTTTTTCTTGTTATTCACCCTTCCCCCCATCAGCCGCTGGTTATAGACTTATAGATCCTCGGAATTATGGAATTTCGACCATCGGCAGAAATCAGCTTATAATATGATCTGTCAGCTTGTAGAACAGAAGTCTTGACCTTCGAAGTCCTTGGCTTGTTTATCCAGAGTATTTAACTGTATTTTTATCTACATTCATTTTATAAAATTCCACCAAATTAATTTGCAAAATTGACTTTTTTTATCGAACAGTTTCATTTCATTCACTTAATTAAGATGCTAAATTTTAATTATATTCTAATTTGGAGTTAGCAACTTTGAAGATATTTTAATGTAGTTTCCGAATATGTAAATTTTAATTATTAAAAATTCAGTTAATTAGCAATAGAGAGGATTTAACTTTAACAGTGATTGACCAAAAACTGTTGACTTTGCAAATCAATTTGGAACAGATGTTTACAAAAATTCTCTTACAATAAAAAATGTGAATCCAGACATGCTATTTGAAATAATGTAGGGATTCATATGTTTTGTATGTTTGTTAGTTAATTAGAATTATGTGGAGATAAACTTTTTCTCACAACCTAGTAAATAGTCTTATATGGTTACTGAGCAAGTCTGTTAGAATGCAAGCTTGAAAATTTAGGATTTAATTAATAAAGCGGCAAAACTAAGGCATAGATAACTTTCCCTCAGTTTTGTTATCAATTCACTGCTAAAATTAACATTTAACTGCACTAATTTAACTACACCTACTAGAATAGTATGGTACTAATAATAATATTAAAAATAACAACAATAATATTTTTTTTAAATATTTGCTCTGATTTAAATGTTTTTTTTATCTAATCTGAATATTATTACCACCTCCGTGTCACTAACAGTGTGACATGATGATGCAGTACGGTTATTAAGAAAATGAGTTTATGTGATTGATGTTGAATTAATAAAGTAAGAATAAATGATAATGATTTAGAATCACAAAACTTTACCAAATTTGATACGGAGTATGATACAATCTTAATAAAATGGATCGAAGAGGAAAGATGAGACAATCACTAACATTTTTTCAGTAAATTTGAGTGGCTCCACAGCTGACTTAGGCCCTCGTGCCTACGCCCCTGCTTCATGGATCCCACTCTAACCATGGACGGCATCTGGACGTTTTAAACGGAAGTATGATTACAACTTTCTGAATTACTGGTGGATCAGTAGTTAGTGATGATTACCCACCCTCATGACTCATCATTTTGGAACCGGACTTGGGGTACACACTTGTGTACACTCTTACACACTCGTGTTTGTGTAGACGTTTTTTTGTCTGTCCCTGACAAAACGTATTTGACAAATACATTTTTGTCTGGGACAGACAAAAAAAACGTCTACACAGACATGAGTGTGTAAGATTGTGTACACAAAGTGTGTACCTTTAGATTTTTTCATCATTATGTACAATTCATGATTTAAATAATTTATGTGCTTTCAATCATTTTCAAACATTACTTCTCAGTTCTCATGAACTGATTACATTGCAACCATCGTAATATATGCAATTCCTTTCATTAATTATTAGTGTTCAAGCGACTAGCATTACTTCTTCTTTTTTAAAAAATAGCTAGCATTACTTCTATTCACAAGTTTATAATTAAGAAACAAATTCATATATTAGCATTATAGATAACAATGAAAAAATGTATACTTGATCAATGTTTTCAATTTTATCTATATGTTTCTTTTATAACGTTGTTTAGAGATTATTTTCGATGGCGTAGTGTCGTCTGCCAAATTTATATTCACCGTCATCTTCGGTCGGGCGTTCATGTGTGCTAATAAGAGGTTTGCATTGATATCTTCATCAATCGAGAATATGATTTTCATCTGCAATGATATTGTGATGAATCACCCCCTCCTGAACCACCGTTGTTCCAATAAGTTGAGATCACATGGAATGGTTTCTTTCCGGTGGCTGGCAGAAGCGGAATAAATTCTACACTTGACTCTTTACCGGTGGCTGGACAAATCGGGAGGTTTAATACGAAGTAGTTTGTTTGAGAATTATATATTGTGATCGTAGCAGGAGTCGTCGACCCAATGCAGAGTCTATTTCTTTGCGGGATTAGCGATTCAACTTTTTCAATTTGAATCGTTTGTTTATATGTTTCATCTCATTGTAGCTTTGAGTTATATGATTCATGATTGTAGTTGTTATTGGGCATTTTCCAGATCGCGCAACACCCGTCACACCTTTTTTAAAATAAGAGAATTAGTTTGGGTGCAACTTTTTTAAGATATAACATGCGCTGAAATCACACCTTATGAATTTACATATATAAAGAGAAATGTAAAATCTCATTCAATTTTAATTTTTCCACTATTGAAACTTTATGTACCTTCTGTTGAATGCCTCTTCCCCTGCGAAGTGAAGGTAGTATTACACTCTTTTCTCATAGATAATTAAAACAATGTTGGTAAACTATCTCACCATTCTTCTAATGAAAATGCGCTAGGGTCTCCATTATTAGACATGAAAATATAAGATCTTTATACAATGGTTATATGATTATAAAGCCCATATTACTTTATAATACGGAGTATGAGATAATGAGAGAAGTCGGAAGCTGTCATTTTCGAACAAAAACATTACATTTTGCAAGTTAAACTACTATCTATAGGTAGAAAGTATGAAAGATAATACCCTTCTCTTGTGCTTGTAACAAAGGTCCCTGTCTTCTCTTCTCTTCTCACGCATTTATCTTGCTCGCATGTCTTGAATGTCCTTAGGCAGATGAATATTTATGCATATCAATCATATCAACAAATTATTTTAATGGAATCATAATATTAAGCTTTTTGATAAGCTTAATACCACGTACTACGTATTATTTCATGATAAATAAGTTCACTATGCCTAATCATGCAAAGGAATCTTCTACGTTCCAACAAAGCAACAACCTTCTATGATTTCAATTTAATAAGTTTACAATTAATATACTTCTGATCTCAAACTATGCTAGAGAAGCATCTCGTTGAGATCACCGAGAAACCTTCAACTGTTGTTGAGTTCAATACAACGTTGTCTGGTTTATTAAAGTTGTGGAAAGAGTTACTTTTCTTATTGGATTAATATCTTGGTAAACTTACTTTGGACAAAGAGTTAAACATCAACTAATTTCTCTAATAAACAAATGTCTTTAAGTGTGATGAGTCATCTAACATAATACTACGTATTATTCCTAGTTTCTAATTCTATTAAAAATCTTCCTGTTGTAATTCGACTATCTTAGTATCTTGCTGCTCCTTAACAAGTTATGTATCCCTAGTTCTTATACATGATGCATAAAATAGTCCAAAATACTCATTTAAGCATATTTGCAAGCATCTAGCTTAGTATGCTTCAAAAATTTGTGATTTTTTCTACCGGTCTAAAAAACTCTTTAGGCATATTTACAAGCATCGAGTGTGCTTCAAATAATTGTACTTTTTCTACCAAACTAAGCTCATTCCGGCGAAGTAGTTGGAAGGTGAAGGTTATAGTCAGTGTTGGTCATTTTGATATTGATGTAACGATCCTGATTCTAATGATATCAATATAGACGATTTCTTCTTAAAAAAAGCTCATTCTGGCATGCACCAAAACCTAAGTTAGGATTATTCATAAACAAACAAGTAGTATGTTTAAAAATATTACTTCCATTAAAGTCTACACCTGCTTCAAATACAACCTAGTTCATTATCTGCAAGAATAGAAACGTTAATAAGAATAGGCTGAAACAATAAGGATATATATAATATCTTGTTTAGGGAAGAACATAACTACTTCATAGGGTTATGACAATTGACAAAGTTGTCACTTTAGACTTTGGAGGACTCCAGCACCAGTTTCCCATCAAGTGCAGTACTACATCAGTAAACTCAAAATTAAAGCACTTAGATAGAGACTAGACTAAGTAGCATGTCAACCCTTGACTGTGCTCACATATTTTCTTCAGCTCCTGAAGAACCTTTTGTTCCTTCTTTATAGAAGCCATATACATCAAAATAAGCACAATTATACAACAAAATAAGCACATTTACCAAAAAGGTTAGCAGGTGGCATGTAATTTTTCCTAAAGCCAAGCAGTTTCGTAGCTGAGTAGTGATAGCTGGCAATTAAGGCTGAATGGTGCTGTCACACTACTACTTCGATTCTTGCACACATAATGGTCATATTGTTGCATTTATTTATATAACATGCACACCCGCACATAAATTCATTATAATTTTTTATTACTAGTTGTTACCTCTTCCTGGAAGAAGTGCAAGAAGCGGTGGTGAATTACAACAGCTGTTTGGAATCAAAAGGTGTTGTCTGCTTGGATAGGAGAATTGCAATTGAAGCTTCAGATGGTCTGCAAAAGACAGAGGTGACTTATTGATATATTCATACTAGTTTCTCATTGAACTAGATGAAACTTCTTTTGTTCTCTAGCTGATAGCTTTAACTAGTTTATCAGTTACGGATCTACTATGGGCCTATGGCGTATATATCCTGGTGGAAGTTTGTTATTTTTCTTTTTCTCATGGTTGATATCTTAAGTGGAGAGTTAAAAACAGATGCATATGTAATATACAATATAGTATTATTAATCCAAATATGTATTAGGCTAACCGCAACTCTGTTTCATCAAAAAATCAAATTCTCCATCGGGTTATACAAAAATTTAATATTAACTCAGTCAATTCCGTTTTTTCCTACAATCCAGCATCGTCAATATATTCATCCAACAAACTTTTTTAATTAAAGCCTTACCTTTTATGAAATTAATTAATTAATTAATTAGCTTAAATTTCAAAATAGGGGAGGATATGAAATACATTTCAACAAACACACCCATATTGGTTGTTATAGCTGAAACTACTTCATATCCCCTATTTTTCAATTTAAGCCAATTAATGTCCTAATAAAACAAACAGTGTAAATTTTTACTACTCTACACTTTGCATCATACCAAACGAGCTCTTAGTATATACTTTAAAGTTTATACTAATCAAAATTTGTATATCCAAAACAGAAAAATTAATTAAATTTTAAATTTCCTTTTAATTTAGTATATACAGATCAGATTTCATTATTTCAAGATTGATATTTGATGCAGCATGATGTCCATAGTATATACTTCTAAACTTACAAATTCAAACTCTTTGACTATAAATCATGGCCAAAGTTGGTATGTTGCTGAGTTTTAGCATGAGTTGGCACTACTGGTTCACATTGATTAAATAAAAGAACAGATAATTCTCCGAAGTTCCTTTAGCAGGGAAGCACCAGAGTTTAGGCCATTTCAAAACCAAAACGTCATCTTTTCAGAATTCTCAAACTTAGACACTCCCCAAAGAGCACAACCACTAAAACGCAGAAGACCTTTATAGGAATGTTGATAAATACATGCATCTTTGTAATTGGTAGTGTTTGAAGAGCTTACAAATAATACAGAGTATATTTCTCATTCATTTGGCGATTCCAGTTGCAAACAATCAAGCATTTCCTTCCTCAACCTTTCAGCCATTTCATTATTCCCTTGTTCCAAGAATCCATCAATGAAAGAGCTATATATTTCCTTGGTAGCTTCATATCCTTTTCCCACCATCTCCACCTGAACTCCAAGAGCTTCTTCCATCTTCCCTTCATGACACAAAGCAATTATAAGAGTTTCATATGTTTCCTCCATCGGAACAATATCATGCTTCTTTACCAAACTTCTCAGAAGCTCCATTGCCTCAAAGACTCTACCTTTAGTGCAAATTACCCTAACAAGTGCATTTACTGTTCTACCCTCAGGCTTAAAACAGTTACGACATAGATCCTTATACAAGAGGAGAGCTGAATCAAGATTCTCCCTCTTACAGTGACCTATGATCAAATGTTCAAGAGTGGTGCTTGTACTCTCCACCCCACTCATCACCATCTCTCTGAAAATCTCTTCAGCCTTCTCAATCTCACCGGCCTCACATAGACCGCCAATGACAGTGTTGTAAGAAACTAGGTCCCGCTTCACACCATTTTCACCTGTCTCCTCCCATATTCTCATCGCATCCTCCATCCTCCCATCATCAATCAATGCTGACATAAGCACACTGTAGCTATACGCATTCGGTTTACAGTTCATATCCACCATTTCCTTCCAAACCTCCTCCACCTTATCCACGAGCCCCTCTCTATGGAACCCAAGCATTAAAACACTGTATGTAGATGCATTAGGAGTAACACGTCTAACCCCCTTCCCATTTTCTTCCCCACAAAGAAATATCTCTCTGTACATATCATAACCTGCACAGCACCCATGTGTTTTGGAAACCAACTTGACAAGAGAATTGCAGGTGGTGACGTTTGGATAGAGATTCTTGGACTTCAATGCTCTGAGAACCTCAATGGATTGATCAGTTCTTTTTGAATCCAAGCAAGCATTGATCAACAAATCAAACACAAACGGAGCAGAATCACACTGTCTGTATGTTCTTACCAGAGCTTCAAAAAGAAGAGGCGGGTCTGATGAATGTGTGTCAGGAAACTTGCTGAGAGCAGATTTTATTAGGGTCGATGCTTGGGACTTGAGGCGAGAGCGAGAGAGCACGTGGATGATGGTGGTGTAAGAATAGAGGGAATGGGAACACAAAGAGTGGCGGATGGTGAAGAGGAAGAAGCTAAGGGCAAGGTGGGGCTTGTTGCGGATTTGAAGTATGATCTCTGATACCTGGGAAGGTGTGAAGCCACTTGTAGGGTTGAGAAGAGCGCGGAGTTGACTCCACCGTGACTTTGAGCGGTGGTGCTTGACAATTGACACGGCTGAGGAAACAAGATTTTGATCTGTATGCGATGATAATGAAGAAGAAGAAGAAGAAAATGGGAGAAAAGGATTCCTGTTTAGGCAAGCCGCTGAGAGGAGAGTGTGATTGGGAAGAGATGAAAACAGTGACATCGAACCATCTAGTATGGCTAAGTTCTGTAAAATCTTGGTTCAGTAGTTTGATCGAATAGCTGGTGCTCATCTCCTGAATCACAGCTTAAAAACCTTTCCCACGGATCCTTGTCACTATCATGTTGACTCATATCTTGGTTCTAAATTAGTAAATTTTGTTAAATAATTTCAACGTAATTTACACCCACCCCATCACCACCAACTTATATACTCGAACTCGCGTAATCTAATCTGTTCGTACCTCTTCTTGATTGTTCATAGTTCATCTTCCTTTAATTTGCAGAGACACGCCCAAATCCCAAATCCCAAATCTTTCATTTCTGTTCTTTTTCTTCCGGCTTCCTTTTAATATTCGTCCTCAGAGTAAAATAAAAATAGAACAGTGACAATTCTGTACATGTTTGCAAATTTTAAAAGTTAAAATTCATTTTAAATTTTGGGTTAAGGACAATTATCTATAATTAAACTTCATTAAATAAACAAGTAACAACAACCTAATTTCAGTAATTTGTAATTAAAAAGAGAGAAATAGTTCCCTTCCCTTTGTAACAACCTAAATAAACAAGTAACAACACATTATACCCTTCCCTGTGTATGTATAAAGCTTGATGCCAGGAAGAATGTGTTTTCGTTCCTTTTATTTAAAAAAATTGTTGTATATTTTAATTTTAGTTAATTATATACATACATACATACAATTCCAAAATAGGAGTTCTCGGTTATTTGGTCCGTATCTTTTGCCAATTTTACCCCTTTTTATTTTGTCAGTTTACTTTTTCTTTGTCAAGCTTTTCTCACGTGACTACGCAGCTCCCAACCTTTCTCACTTTTCATCTCCCTCTTCCTCCCCTCATCCATTTTCAGATATGATTTCTCTCACTTCTCCAACTCCCATTCGCCAAATTACAAACAACAAATTTTTCTCTCCAACTCCGGTCACCGGCGGATGACGGCGATCCTCACATGTAAGTTTCAATCTCTTGCTCTTCATTCTTCTTCTTCTTCTTCTTCTTCCTCTCCTCTTTCTTTTCTTATCAATTCCCCCTTATTTTTTTCTCTTCTTTGAATTCAATCGGCGGTGCAACTTTATGGAACTTTATGTTTTCATAGAGAAGTTGGTGGCTTGTTGTTTGATTAGGACCAGTTGATATTTTTTTAATTTAATTTTCTTCTTTCCTAGATGATCTGTTATTAAGTATTTATATTATATTATTGATTTTTCGTTTTCTCTTCCAATTGAAAGATTGACTTTTAATTTCTTTTATGAGTTAGTTCGGTTGAATAAAAGTCGGTTTCTTCCTTTAATTTCCCTTTTGAAATATTGACTTTTAATTTATATTTTACATTATAGAATATAAGTTTTTACATTTAATTTCAGTCAATATTTTTGTACAAATTATTTTCTACTTTGAATCTCAAATTGTCATAATTGCCATCTTAAAGTGTTTTTATGGTATTAAGAATATTTGTAAAACATGGCATTATTTGCCTAACATATCCATGTAATTGCCATCTTTACGAAATTAATGTCAACTTCATAAATGTAAAATGACATTATTTGCCAAACATATTGAAAAACATTCATAAATGTAAAATGACATTATTTGCCAAACATATTGAAAAACATGGCATTTTTAAAATAACTTTGCCATTTTCGAAAATTAAACATTATTATATATTTTTCAGACCCAAATTCCTCAAATTTAAAATTTTAGAGTAAAAAAATTAAAATAAATAAATATCAGATTGTCATTCTACAACATTCTTAATTTTCAGATCTGGGGCTAGGGGATGGAGATGGCGGCGTCGGAATTATAGATGGCCGGTGGTGACCCTGGAACAAGGTAGCAGCGAAGATGGTGGTGGTGGCGGCGTCAAGCGACAGCGGAGACCAGCGGCGTCTGAAGACGGTGAAGATTGGCGGTGTCCAGCGACGGCAGAGATTGGCGGCATCTGGCGGCGGCAACGTCCGGCTTCTGGCGGCGGCGTCAAGTGGTGGCGTAGGGTGGTGGTTAGGGGCGGCGGTTATTGGTGCAGGTACCGCCCCTGGATGGTGTTGACGGCAACTTGTGGTTGGGGAAGGAAAAGTACGTTGTTGACTTGTTGTGTAATGCATTAATTAGTTTATTATTATATTTTGTATTTTTACTAAATAAGTTTGACTATTCATTAAGGGCATTTATGTCCCTTACTTATAATTTCCGTATGACAAACTACATTGTTAGATAGGAGTCCTACTTTTGCATATTTGATAAATTTTACTCCTAAACTGGGAATTTTCTCTTTAATTTTATATCAGGTTCTATAGCCATTTTGAATGGCTCAGTCAAGCATCATACAATTACATGTTCAAAGCTGGTCAGAGCTCAGCTTATCATACAAAAAAGTGAAATTATTTAAAAATAAAAAAGGAATTAAGTATGTTTTTACTTGGATTGTTTTCAGTTCCAGACCAGACCAGACTTAAACATACCAGACCAAACTTAAATAGACCACACCAGACCAAACCAGACTTGACTTCTGTACTTATAAAATACACAGAGACAAGACGTTTATCAGACAAGACCAGACCAGTTCAGACGAGACCAGAGTTAAACAGACCAGACCAGATCAGACCATACTTAAACAGACCACACCAGACCATTAAACTACAGTCCAAGTAAAAACATCCCCAGTCTTCACTCTTCAGCTACTTAGGCACTGCAACAGTGAGGCGTCCGACGGTGATTCCGGTCTCCAGACTCCAGCGAGGCGTGCAACAGTGCGAGTGTTAGAGTGTGCGACGTTGTGAGGCGTCAGGCGTAGACCCTGGAATCCTGGAGGCGTGGCGCAGTGGCAGGCTGGCGACAATCGAGGCGTCGTCGGTCCACTGGTGGTCCGTATCGTCCTTTTGTTGCTTCAACTCCTGGTCCTTGAAGACGTGTCGTGAAGAGGGCCAAAACCATCAGGACATGTTATGTTAGTCTTATTAATTTAATACCCACACGATATTAAATTACTCCATGTGTACCGTTAAGATTGTCCAATTTTTCTTTTCGGTCCGTCCAACTAAAATTGTCTCAAATTTAATTTCAGAACTGTCCAACTGATGTGTCTCGTCCAACCTTTGCATGTCTAATTGTCTATTGCACTTTCAAACCGCATCCAGAACTCCACTAAACTAGCACGAACAAGCCGAGAAGACCAATGAACACAAAGCTCGGGTACAATCTCCTTGTTCTTTCGTACAAGCGCAAATAGGCTAGAATTAAATCAACAAACAAAGAAACGGGATTTAAAACTAATCCGGACAGAAATATTCCCAATTTCGGACCACAGGTATCCAAACAAATATTCTTAACCGGAGAGTTTATCCATGAATCAATCAACAGAAAAAATCAAAAAAAAAAAATCCAACACGTGATTAAATTTAAACCGGAAGAAATATTCACAATTTTGGACAACGAGTATCCAAACAAAATATTCTTCACCGGAAAAAATTAATCACAAACCAACAAGTAATCACAATTTAAACAAACAAGTAATTGCAATTTAAACTTGAACTTAAAATGAATGAACTACGAATAAATAATCACACAAAGGATTAGTAAACGTACCTGGGGCCGGGCACAGCCGGCATCCAAGACCATGCAAGTCAGCAGCGGGGAGCGGGGAAAAAATAAATCCGGTGGCACTCCGGTACACCAAGGGTGGTTAACACCAATTTACCTGAGCGGGGCCCGAGGTTGGGTTACCCGACTTACCGTAGGCAGCGTGGGCTGCTGTAGAGCGTGGCGGCAGCGAACTGGACTGGTGGCAGCAGGTTTGGTCCGAGGCAGCAGAGTCCTTGGACGGCTGGAAGCTTCTGGCAGAACTCCCTGGACCACTGGTGGCACTCCTGGACCTCCGGCGACACTCCCTGGACCTCCCGCGACGGCGTACGACGGCGGCGAGACGGTGGCGGGCGGCGGCTGGCTCTGATACCACTGTAAGATGTTTATCCAGCTCAGGTCTCACACGTTCACACCCACAAAGGATGAAATTAACCACTATAGTCACTAAGGGAAAAAAGGGGCGTCAGCCAGCAGGCCACTTTCCGGCCAAGGCTCTTTCCGGCAAACTCACAGAGGAGAAAATGGAATTTAGAGAATAGGGTTTCGGCTTTGTCACTCGCTACGCAAAACGGAAGCAATATGCAAATATATATAGGAGATGCACAGATGGTAAAGATGACAACTTACCATGGGAGAGTATCAAGACTTAATCGCACAAGCACAAGCCAAAGAAGGAAAGAATCGGCCAATAGCGCAGAAGAGAATCGGGAAAGACAAAAGCGGAACCGAATCAGGGGGCCGGGTAAACTATAGGGTAAATGGGCTTATGGAATGGGCTCGGCCTTGTACGGTCTAGGAACTAACGTCCAAGTCAAGGAAAAAATTATACCGATGGATAGGATACGTTGTATTCGTATAAACAACAAGATACATATCTGAATTTATTTTTGGTGAAGGGATGGAGATTGGAGATAGTCTAAGACCATTTGGAGTGCAGAAGTGGTGTGAGAGTTTAAATGTTAAAAATGGATTCCGTTCATATGAAAGTGGTGTTTTGACTCATATTTCTCTATATTCCAGCACCGTTAATAAAATACACTATGCATATTTTTTTACATATCAATTTAGTAAAACATTAATTAAATTATTATAAGTAATATTTTTCTTTTAATTTTTTCTTGAATAATTACTCCCTCCGTCCCAAATTGTTTCGCAAAGTCAACATATTTTAGTCAACCAATAATAAAAGTCAAACCTTTTTATTGATAATTAATTCAAATTTTAATAATTTAAATTTACATATTTAGAAACTATATTAAAATCTCTTCAAAGTTGCAAACTTCAAATTAGAATATAATTAAAAGTTGACATCCTAATTAAGCGAATAAAATAAAACTGTTTGACCAAGAAAACTCAAATTGCAAATCAATTTGGGACGGAGGTAGTATGAAATAAAAAATACACTTTTTCGATGTAAAAATAAATAAATTTCATTAATTTTTTAATGTTTTTCGGTTAACAAAAAATGAACTTAGTTCAAATAAAGTTCGATTATAAAATATTCAGTTATTTGTGAAGACTCCATGAATCAAAGATTTGTGTTTCATCGTTTTTTATACTGAAGAAAACTTCAACAGTTAAAACTTAAGAATTTTGTTTCATTTTATATATTACATATTGATGTTATATGAAAGATCCTAAAATTTAA